CCTGTGACCTTAAGCAAGCCACTAAGACTAAGTCCAGACAGACAACTTGGCATAGTAACACCTAAAAATGCACTTGCCCCTCAGAATGATTCGAGGAAATAGAGTTAAGTGTCTATAAGATACCTATAAGCTGCAGTTGCGTGCTTTTGTAAGATTAATCCACAAAAAACAGCATGTTTAATGCGGAGTTGCTCAGAGATGGCCAGTAGGTGTATATAGGGTTATGACTAAAGGCCTACCAGAGCAAGGTTTGAGTGCCTCACTCAGAACTGCAAATTAGGCACCTCCATCTTCTTGTGGTCTGAGGTCATACTTGTCTTCTAAATGTACTAAGATTTTGGTTGTAGCCGTGTTGGTCTAAGGACATAGGCAGGCAAGGTTCTTTGACTAGATATGATATCTTTTATTAGACCAACTGAGTAATTGGAAAAAAGTTCTTGGCAAGCTTTTGGGTCCAGTCACCCTTCTTCAGGCATAGGGAGTCTCTGGAAGGAACGGGAGAGGAAAGGAATGAGAGAAGCTAAATGTGTGGCAGGGATGTCAGTGAGAATGTATATAGGTAGAAATTAGAAAGACAAAAGATAAAGCAGGTAAGGGAGGGGGAAGAAAGCAGGGGTTGGGGGAGGGAAGGCCCAAGCGAGATATTACAGTGATCGAAAACAAGGTAGCAAAGGGGCTGTCTGTGAAAAAGAAAATAGTTGTAGATCAGAAAACTGGAACGAGAGAAGCTAAAAGTGTGACAGGATGTCAGTGAAAATATAAATAGGTAGAAATTAGAAAAACAGAAGGTAAAGCAGGGAATGGAGGGGGGAAGAAAGCTGGGGGGGGAACCAAAGGGAAACACTACAATGGTAATAATATAAGGTAAAAAAGAGGCTCTCAATGAAAAAAGTAGTGTGAAGTCAGGAAGGCAAAGGGAAGAAAAGTGGGGTTGGGGGGAGAAAAGGTGGGGGATGAGAAGAATGTAAGAAGTCAGGTCAGGCAGGTTGTAATGTCATAAATCCAATGTCTATATTGAGTCCGTGATTTTGTATCCAGTAGATTTATGAAGTGAAGTTTGTAGGCTCATCTACAAAAGATGTTTTGTAAGTCCCCTTTGAGGATTAGAACTGAGAGATCGAAGAGGGAGTGATTGCCCTGTGAGAAGTATGCCCCCACAGGACCGTGTTGCTCTCCTGCTCATCTGCATATACATTTTTGGAGGATCCCAGGATTCATGACAAGAACACCTAGTTCCAGTCATGTGTGGGCTAATTAGCGCATGGCTCCTTTGTTGGAGTGGGTGTCTGGCACATACTGGGCACGGCTGAGCTATGGGATCACCATAGCTAGAAACACTGTTGACTCTGCTGGGGCCCAGTCCAGTGAACTATATAGTAATTCATAAGCCTTTTTCTTTGGACTAACATCGTGCATAGTCTGTACTACCTGGCACAGGAAATACCATGACCCCCATGGTGGCAGGGGAAGTACTCTGCTGAAGGTAATACAATTAAAATGGTGCTGTGTAGTGGAGGGTTACACCCTTGTCTGCCTGTGGATGGAACTCCCTACAAAAGCCTCGTAGTTAGATTCCCACTGGCCAGTTTCCAGCAGGAGGATCTCAGCTACACATCAACTTATGGAAATGGGAGACTTCTCCCTAGCTTGCTTCTGCGGCCATACTGCCGAGGGCAAGCAAAACTTGGGGGCATTGGAGCCCCAAGCCTTTGGGCTTGGACCTGCACATAGGATGCCTGCCAAAGGATTTGGAAGCGTCTGATGCTTTAGACAAGGGTGAAGGATGTTTGCTGATAGTAGGGCCATATTTGGTTCTTGAGTGACTTACAGATTTGGAATTGCTTTGGCTGATTTGACTTGGAACATGAAAAATTTTCCTTAAAAAAAAAAAAAAGGCTGTACTACCTGGCAGAGGAAACACCATGATCACATGATCACCAGGCTTTTTGTGGGCTAAGGGGTGGTTTTCCCAGAGTGAGACCTGTCCCTTGCACTCCCAGCACACTGACTCCTGCGATTTATCCAAATGCAGGAAACGCAACTGCACAATTTTGTGGCAGATGGGGACTGCTTTCCCCGTAGCTTGTTCCCTAGACTTTTGGCTAGGAGCAGGTGAGACTAGTGGGCATCCAAACCCCAGGGCCCCTAGACCCTGGGGTTGCACATAGGATGTCTTCCACAGATTTGTGGAGTATCTGAAGCTGCAGACTGAGTCTGGGAAGGAGGATACTTGCCCAATGGTAGAGCCACACAGTTGAAAAATGGGGCTCTGCTGAGTCAAAACTTGAAACTTGGCTATTGGGCTTTGCCCAATAGAATTCAGAACTAATTTGGCTCTTGAAACAAACAAACAAAAAATTAATAAAGCATAGCTTGTGCTACATATAAGTAGGTAGAAAAGTGTTCCTTCAAAGTTTGTTTATGGAGTGCCTATGATAAAACTTGCAGCAGTTTCAGAAAAGGTAAACTGCATCAATTCTGGGTGAACTAAGTCTATGGGTGTGCATAGTAATTTGCCAATATATTTATTTTGAGGTCAGCGTCTTCAAATTCTCCCCTCACTTCTATGTGCTTGGAGAAAGTAATTGGGGGTGGCTGCAGAGGGAAGAAGTTACTTGACCACCACCAGTTTTATTTTTCCTGTTGTAGCAGTGGGAGGAAGACAAATTCAAGGTACATCTCAAATAATTAGAGTCTATACGTGGAATATTATAACAAAATTATACATTTTCCATATATAAATTCTAATTATTGGGGGATCATCGTAAAATTGAGCAAATACAATATGTAAGAAGGAAGAAATAGCCTGGAAAAACTAGGGAAAAAAACCAGGTGTGCCTAGACTTGTACTCTAGTTCGCATCAGAGCCAACTTGATTAGCTGAGTCTGGTGGAATGGTGTGATTAGAACACTCCACCATGCCTCACCATCACATGTATTCAGTGCTCTGTGTTTCTAAACGATAGTGTGGCACTTTAACTAAAACTTGTCAAACAAGTTTTAGTTAAAGTAACCCCATGGCCGTTTTGAAATGCGGGACAGTGAATAAACATGATGCTGCAGTGTTTTAATTAGAGTGGCTGTCTAGAAGCCACTGTAATGAAAACGCACTCCCTTCCATCCCATAGCATGTGTGTAGATGTTCTAGGAGAGGTTTTAGTAGACCTGACTAGTACTATATCCCTAGATATTGTACTTCATGTTACACAGAGATCTGCTGTTCTGAGACTGCTTTGGTAAAGATTCGCATTGTCTCAGCTCTCTCAACTTCATTTTTTTAAAGATATGATAGACTTTAAATGTTGTTTTAATTTACAAATATAAGGTATTCATTCATTTGGTTCTGACTGAGTACAAGCTGACACAGTGTGTTTATAACTTCAGAATATAGGCATGTGAATTTATTTTACAGGTAGCAAATTTTAATATAGGTCTATTGAAAGAATTGGCTAACAAGCAGTGTTTTCTGGATAAATATGCAGAAGGACTTCAGGAAATTAGGCTAAAAGTCAGGTTTATTGAATCCCTGTTTTAAACTATGCCTGACTTCATAGCACAGTGAGCAAATTTTAAGTGAGATCTTTTTGACAGTATTCAAGTTATTTATATTAAAAACTATTTTTTTTTCTGTCACAGCTCTGTTTATTCTTATTCTGGACTTATTACCAATATATGCTAAAAGGAAAGCATAATTTTAAATATTCTTGATCCCTACTTATTAACAATGGCTAATTTTTTTTTTTTTAAATAATTATTCTGATCTCTCATTGAGAATTGACACACTGAAAGTTTGAGCACCATGAAAAAAATCAGAGACAGCTTTTTGCAATAAATCCATTTAGACATTATAAATCTTGTGGTTCTCTGTCTGTCTTTGATACCAAGGAAACTGAACTGTTTGTGTATTTGTTCTCCCTTAGAAGCATGAATTGAAGCATAAATAAATTACATTTTTCCTAATTACATTTAGGGTGGAGGCATTTTTTTTCTTTTTCCCTTTGTGGACAGCAGACTGTGAGCGTGTCTGATTATTTTTCGTTACTGTGAAGCTAGCAAACATTTTATTGTTCTGTGTTTTACTTAATTATTTTTATAGCTGTTATTTTTCCATGTCTGCTTAATCGGAATAAATTCTAAGTGTTTCAAATCTTTCTAGAGCCATTTGATATTTAAATGCCAGTGTTCCAACCTAGTACATTTCTCAGTGAAAGATATATTACACTAACTATATTTCCCCCACCTTAAAATCATTTTCTTTTTTTTCCAACACAGTGGAAGATGGAAGAGAAATGTACTAAGTTCTGTGAAAAATAATTTCCTTTATTCCTTAAGTTTATCTAAGAGTAGAGAACATGCAGGATGTTTGAATGCCTTAACATCTCTGAGTTCTGGAGTAGTTTAGGTCAGTGGCTCTTGACCTTTTTTGTACCAGGACCCATTTGTAAACATTAATGGGCACTCCTGACCCACTGCCCCCATCCCTAAGCCCCAGCCCCCCAGTGTGTGGGGCAGTAGCGTGTGTTTGTGGGGCATGGAGGACCCTGAGCAACCCTTTGCGGGCTGGAACTCTGCCAGCCTGCAAGGGAAAAACCAATTTCCCACATTTGTCTCCTTTAAAGGAGAATCTATTTTTTTTTTTTTTTTTTTTAAGTTTGTTGATCCATTTTTAAAATTTAAAGTTCATGACTCTTTCATATATTCTTGCGACCCACTTTTGGGTCATGACCCACAGGTTGAGAAATGCTGGTTCAGGTGATTGAGTTGAATCATAGGGTGGGAAGAGATCTCAAAAATCATCTGCTCTGACTTGCCGTTTCTGAGATATGACCTCAGGAAGTTCATTGACCAGTGAGGTAATACTGTAGCTAATGGTGAGGTGACTGGGGTACTAAATCTGTTTCTGATTTAGAGGGAGCTGCGAAAGTAGCAGCTGCTGTGCCGCTGGCCTGGATGTTGCAAGCAGCTTGGCTGCAGTTGATGCTCTGGTGGAAAGCTGCACTTGTGAACATATTGCTTCTGATATCCAAGCTTGCTAATTGAAAACAAGATTAGGTACCCATACATGCACAAAAAGATATCCCAAAGAACCTTCTTGATCTTAATCTTGCTATAGGACAGTCCTCAATAACTTCTTTACAATAGTAAATGCAATATATTTATCATTTACACTGAAATCATATCACCTTCCTTTGTTATGTATCTTGTGCTTTCCTAGATTTTTTTTTCCTTGTGCAGTTTCACAGAATGGTCTTGCAATTCAGCCCTTGTTTAAAATTTAACTATTTTTCTAAACTACATTTAATCCTCCAGTGCCATAGAATAAGTGCAATGGTGCCAAGTTGATTTGTTGATCCTGCTAAGTATTGGAGCCTGTTGTGGCATAACTACATCATAATACCATTAGAGATAATTAAATTGTATTTTGAATTAATGCTACCATATTATAGCTTGATAAATGTGCTGTTGACTAGTTTTGCAGTTGTAATAGTTGACCAGCACCAATGTTGTCTTTTCCATCTTTTTAAATGGGAGATGATTTATCTTATTTTGGGCTGCCTGGATTGTGTGCAGAGACCAAAACATTAGAAAAGCATCATAAATATTAGAAAAAATACAAGAACAAATGGTGAAGAACCATGGAACTGAGCTCTGTATTGTTAATTATGTAAAAAAATATCCACTTAGCTCCATGGGTGACATTTCATTTCTCTTTGGCATTACCTAAATTGTAATATTTTAGTCAGTTAAGTGACAGTTTTGATACTTAAACTGCAGGTAGGAATTCTATTTCCTTGCAAAGTGGACATGTAAGTGTGCATGTGTATTACGCACATGGACTAAGCTGTGCAGTAGGCTGTGCCCTAGCAATTTACTGTATTTACTCAAATCCAAAACGAGGTTTCTTTTCCCTAATCAGAATGTGTTGGGGGGTGTCTCTAGTGATAATCCTCAATTAGTGTAAGTTGGTACAACTTTATTGACTTGAGCAAAACTATACTACTTTATAGCAGAGGAGCATCTGGCCTTATGCCTATATATAATATTATATCTGTGAGAGATTAGCCATGCCTGCAAAATAAAATCACAATCTCTCACTTATAATACACAGGGTAACCTCTTTTATTTCTCACCTGCTATGACTTTCATGGGGAAAAAAGGTACAAAGATAAACAGTTCTGAGAGACAAGGTTGGTGTT